GTGATGGAAAGTTGGAGGAAGAGATCGACCGGCGAATTGGTGTAGCCAGTGGCGTTCTGCATGAAGTAGCTCGAACCGATGTGGCTAAGGCAGAGCTGTACCTGAAGATTGAACTGCCTTGTTACAAGTCGGTCTTTATCCCCATGCTTACCTACGGTCATGAGTTGAGTACTATGACTAACAAACTTCGATCCCGGGTAGAAGCAGCTGAAATGGGCTTTTTGAGACGAGTCGCTGACCTTACGCGTCTGGACCTGGTCCGGAGTACAGAAATCCGCGAGAGCCTTAGTGTACAGCCGCTGCTTCTGCATGTCATAGCTGCTGGTATGGTTCGAATGCTGACATGATGGAAGGCAAAACGGCTACTTCTTGCCCAAATCACTTGCCGAAGTTTCAGGGAATGGCCAAGAATAACCTGAAGCAGGTGTTTCGAAGGACGCTTCTCCAGACTCAGGTTATATTCGACCGAGGCTCCAACGCTGTCGTAAGATCGGGAACGTTGGATACGCTGCCTGATGCATCTGCTTCCGTGTAGTTATCCTCCCGTTGTTTTTATGACGAGCTATATTTTGGTGCCAGTGTCATAGCTTTTCCTGATTTGTTTTTGAATGATTTTGTATTAATGCAAAGTTGCAAGCCGATGATAATGGGTTTCTTTTTAATAAGAAACCTGTGTTCACATGACAAACATTTATTGACGATTTTGTCATGTAACCGGGAAGACTTCTGAAGCTGCCCCTCTTTTAACCTTTCCATGCCGAAAGAACTTAAGTGAAAAAAGCAATCGTTTTATCACAAGGTATGGGTAACCATGGTTTGAGGATTCACGAATATCCTGGGCAATCTCCTGTAAAACACAAGCATCATTCCAAAACAAGAGGATAGCAGGAGTGTATACCGGATGAATTTATCTTGCGGAAGGAGTCACATTTCAGAAACCGTTGAGTGAATGCACGGCCGAATCAGTGAACACGTGAGTTTTTTCAGCAGGCAGATGAGAAGGTCTCTGCCATTGGAGGGCACATCTTTCTAAACTGTTTCGTAAAATGGGGTGCAAACAGCATCGTTCGCATGGAATCCAGCTTGCGCCAAAGAAAGATTTTGGAAGCAGTCTCAATGGATCAAATAAACAGAAATGCAAGAAGAAACTTATTAAATCAGTTCAGAATTGTTTTCTCTGGTGTATGACTAAATTGCCAATTAATATATGCTA